TAAATTACCTTATTCTTCAGTTTTAATAGTAAAAATCAAAACATAAATAATTTAAAATGTGAAAAATGTAATTTTAAAGTTTGGAGTAATTTTAGATTATTTATTGGAAAATAGAACTTTACTTTATTCTCTAAAATATATAATATATCAATGGAAGGACAAAATTTGATTGCAAATTCTTTTTACAACAGGGCAAATACGCATCTTTTCTTAATGCAGGAATCTTGAAAGTACTCGCAGCAATTCTGTTTGCATTATTACTTTAAATGCGTCTCTGAAAAATGTGTCTCTACTTATTCTCAGTAAAGTTAATTGGACACGCTGGTTTTCTTTTTGATTGCTTATGAACATTATATTACGTCTCTAAGAGGTAGGGAGTTTATTTACAGAAAGGAAGTCTGTTAAACGAGTTTGCGTATTTCGTTAACTTCTCAAAGCAAACTGCAGCAAAATCAACAGAGGGAATGGAAACATTACGAAAAATGTTAACCCCTAGCGAGTTGAAAAACTTAATAATTTATATTTGAATTATTCAAATGGAGGTCAGTGTTTGTAATAAAACATCTACGTTTCTATGAATACGATAGTACGGCGTGAAGAAATAAAAAGGAATATCAAGAATTTACGTTTGACAGCACATCTTTCTGAATTGCATGAAGGGTGAATATTAATCTTTGTTTTCGCGCTTCCAAACAAAATTCGCAAACATTGTAGTGGACAAACCCGTATGTTTCCTTTGTGAATATTTAAAAAAATAAAAAGGACAAATATACACCTCTTTTATATGCATGTATGCTTCATCACTCCTCATTAATGGATATTCTGTTTCCAATAAATACCGATTTCTGCTTTGTGGTTATGGTGTCCCAAAACAACACGTGATGGAGCATTCGATTACTAGGCAGAATGTTTGAGGGTTTTAAAAATCTGAGACCATTTGTATAAAGTATAGACAGTCTGTCTGCCTTAGCAGTAGATTATTTTGCTTGCTCATTATGCAATGTTTGCATTTTGGGCACACTAATTTTATTAATATACGAATTAATCTTCTCTGATATATTATACAAATTATTGTATTGATTATATTGTAACAAACTATATTACAACATATTATAATATTTATATTAATTGTAACAATATCGTTTGTAATGTAATTTTAACAATATACTTTCAGGTACTGAAGAGAATCTTGCAAAAGAGATCGAAAGGTCTGTCGATGAAATATAATATTTGACTTTTGGCTGGAACCATCGCCTGTTATGTATAAAATTTCAAGTATTCTTCAACTCACACACTGTGTGGACTCGTACACTTGGGACTCGAGGTGCCATTAAGGTCCTCTGCGCGTCCTCGTATACTCCGAGCGAGTAAATGAAATGCATGGAAATGGGTGGAAAGCGCGCAACCTCAGTGGCCGTGAAAGAGACGTGTCCCCGGAGGGGTGGGGGGAGGGCCGTGGGCGGCGGGGCCATCGCAGCAGCTCGTTGCAGTGGAAGAACCGGGCGAAAGGAGGAGAGTGACAGACCGCGGGAGAAGCGAAGCGGCAGACAGAGGTGGGAGAGATAAAAAGGGTAGGTAGGACGATGCGGCGGCAACAAAGAGAAGTCGGTGTCCTTGATTTGGGGTCAGTTGGCATGTCCGTACGTCGATTAGGACCGAGAGGTGGGGGAAGGAACCACGGGGAGGGGGAAGGGGGTGTCGGCCGGCGCGGGAGGATGGGTTCATGCGTGAATAGGAGAGGGACAGGCACAACACATAGGGAGGGGGGGCGAAGCGGTGCCAGGACGAGGGAGAGAACGGTGTCCAGCGGTTCTCAGCGGAAGAGCCTGACGAAAGAGTTGGAGCGACGCACCCATAGAAGGAGCGGAGCGGCAGGAAAAGAGATGCGGGAGAGATAAAAGAGAAGGTAGGACGATGCGGCGGCAACAGAGAGAGCTCGGTGTCCGTGGTTTGGGGTCAGTTGGCAGGTCCGCGCGCCCATTCGTGAGGCGAATGACAAGTGGGGGGGGCGGAGGTGGACTGGTGGGCGGCGTTAATGGTGCCAAAAGACATGGCTCCGCCCCAGCCCTGGCGTGCGGGCGTCCTGCCACGACGCGGAAACGGTGCAGAGGCACAGGAGAGGAGCTCCACCGGCCGCGAGGAACTCGGCGGAACAGGAAGGTGGCTGTTACAGTGGAGACGAATTTTCTTAAATTTCGGTCGGCCGACGTCGGTCATTTGCGTCCGATATGACCGAATCACTTAAACACGAGCTAGTAAATGGAAATTGGCATATTGAACCCGATAGACCTCTTCCGACGGCTTCCGGAAACATCCGCTGACGGACGATGTGTTTCGTTTTATTTCGTCGGTTGCATTCGCCTGAAATCAGCTGGAGAGTCAAGGCCATCTGCAATACCAAGACTACCTGCATTACAAGCCGATCGCTTAGTGTGACTTGTGCATGTTGCAAATAATGAAGTAGTATTATAAGAATATTCAGACGGTTTCTGGTAGTTTTCGGATGAAACAAGTCGGACGATTTCGCTCGCAATCGTCCGGTAGCAACCCATCGGCTCCACTGTGCCCGGCGCCGAAGGGCGAGGCAGGCAGTGGTGAGGCCGGCGTAGCGAGCGGGCGCTGGGGCACATCGGAGTGGCGTGCGGGCCGGGCTTGAGCTCGCTGCGGTCCCACGCGCTAATCACCCGCGGGCTATCTGTGTACGTTTCAATTAGGGAAATGCCGCGCGCGCCCATGTGCGACAGCGAGAGGCGGGAGGCGGGTGGCGCCGGCAGCCCCGGCCGCAGGGCGGGCGAAGGCGGAGGCCACGACCAAAGCGAGTGAGGCAGTTCAAGGGGAGAGGGCGGTTTGATTTTTTCTCTCTCCCATTCCTCTCCATCACTCCCTCTCCAGAATACAATGCCTCTGTCCGGGAGGTCCTAGGGTTGGAGTCCCCACGGTGGCAGGGTTTTCGACACTAACTACTTGGCTGACTCGAATTCAGACGCTGATTGGAGGACAATTCTGACGGTCGGCTGCTCTGGTTGCTGGTATTCCGTGGTGTCTCCGATCAACATTGGGCGAGTGCCGGATAATTTCTCTCCCAAATGGGGCTCGGACCGCACGCGATCTTTCCTTCGTCTTCATTATATAATATTTACCCCTTACACACACTTGCACTCACATGCACTACACTATCACACTTGTCGGGAGACCAGTCGAGAGGATAGAGCATGTCCCAGCTTCGACGGTGCCCCGTGGGTTGGAGCTACCTGGTTGGGGAGAATCTTCGCAAGCCGACGGAGGTCGAAGCCGGATCTCGCCAGCGAGCAAGGGAACATCACCGTCACTTCCCGCGATTAAAGCATTCAATACACTTACGGGGCTAATGACGCGCCCGGAATCACTAATTAATTACTCGATTTCCTGAAGTACGATCGTTCAATTCTCGGTTCCTTAACATCAATTGTTGCGCTCACGAGAAGAATACTTTTTAATAGGTTTTTGTGTTTTACCAGATTTCTATTGCATCACTGTTTGAGTCTTTTCTGAGGCTAATGATAAGACCATTAAGAGTATTCATTTCTTCAGCATGGAAATGAAAATGTGGCAATTTTCACTTCACCCACCAGTGAGGTTTTTTCGTTTCTTAATTGCCAGAAATGCTTCATTAATTTCACTTCTCTTAAAAACACATTGTCTTTCTTTTACTCAATTTAGTAATGGGCAATCAAATTCATATTTTAACTCGTCTGCGTTAGTGGATTCAGAATTTTTAGAAAATTTGCAAAAGACGAATTCAAACATTATAATCACATCTTTTGTTTAATGCACCACAGCAACCCATCCTGCGGTAATGGCGGTATGTAGTTTTCTTGGCCATTCGGAAGTTACTATTTATTATGAGTCTCCCCTAATCGGTCATACCCGTGATGATGATTTTTATGGATGGGTGATGTTGTTACGGTTTGAATTGTATACCAATGATGAAAAGAGGGGCAGGGAAAATTGAGGATCTCTGAGAAAACTTGCCACGTACCCGCTTTGTCCACCACAAATTCCACACGTAACATCCGAAATTCGCACCCCAATACCTGGAGGCGAAAGAGGAGTGGCCTTCATTTCGGCAAGGTGAAGAAGGGTACGTCGAAGGCGCGCCTGTGCGCCCCGCACGCGAGCTTGGGCGGCGGGAGAGAAAGGGAGTTTCGGAGCGCGATTGTGCGTGAGCGGCGCAGGGCCCGGAGGACGCAAGGGGGAGGGGTCAGCTGCAAAGTGACAGTCGTGGCGCAGAGGCAGCGCCTGGCAGCAGCGCACTGCACGTGATAAGAATGGGCAGTGATCGGAGCAGGGGAAGCGCGGCCAGTCAAAGGTGATGTCCACGTCGGCGCGGCGGACGCGTTGCTGACAGAGGGAGGTGTGGCGTCGGAGCGAGCGACGCGCGTGTGCGTGCGTTTATGTAGGTGTGTGTGTGAGGCCACTAGAGAGCGCAGGAGTTGGGCGGAGGGAATGAGAACGCCGAGGGCAAGAACACAACACAATAGGATGGCTGTCGACTCTGTATGAACAAAAGAAGAAGCAACTAAAATAAATAAAATCGTTACATAACAAAACAACACATCTGGTAATCCCATTACTACATTTACCGGAATATTCTTTTAAACCCATGCAATTCGTTTCTCCTCTTTTAAGTAATGGAGATCGCACCAAAATGATTTTGGCACTTAGAAATGACTACACATTATGATATAAACCGATTTCCACTAGTTTAATGATATTTACTAATACAGAAGGATGTGAAAATTTGATCAATAAAAGGTACTTATTGATATCTTCGTCAGCGTGACACTTAATTTGCAAGTATTGTGTTAAAAAAATTAAACAATGATTAATTAAACACAGATTAACTGTTTTAATTGAATAACGACGTCCCATAATTAGGTTTCTATGATTTTGTTATTGATGTCGTTCTTCTCAGATTAAGCCTTTCCAGTGGGTTTGTACGCCATTCCTCTGTGGCGCAGGGTCGCTTCAGCTTTATTTCCCGGCGGGCTGCGCGGCGCGGCGCGGCGCTGCGGCCTCGAGGCGAGGGAGGCGTTCCTGGTTGCGGGAGGCAACTGCGAATTGTGCACTCGCACAAAGAGAGGACCTGCGGCCAGGCTCGAACCCACGGAAAACCTCCGTTCAAAGGCCTCTATGTATGTGCCTACTAATTACTCAGCCTAACATTAACATTAGAGAACATTAACTGGAGTAGCCAGTCTAAACGAAATAATGAAATTAGACCATAGAATAAGATGTTGGTCGTATCTTGACAATTAAGTTATTAATTTTTTTCAGGATAAATAATAATATTATCTTTACGAGTGATCCGTTACGATTGTTATTAACATAGTACTTAGTCAAATTCTTTGCTTCTTGTAAATACAAATATTCAGAAAACTCTAATGACTGATCTGATTCAATTTACCGAATATGCTTCCAGAAAAACAGTTTGCATTACATATTAATTATTCTATGGTTTAAAGAAGTACTACTAGATATACCGGCTCCGAGAATGTCGCCGTTTTTTGTTGATTGTCATTAATGGCATTCCATTGTTAATTGAAGAAATCGAACCGGTTGATCAATTGTATTCTCATTCACGGTTTTTTGCTCAGTATGTAACAGAAGAATGTCGAATCACAATCAAGCAACTAGATTTTAAATATTGATAGAACAGAATGTTCATTACAAAGGGCCTGTTTTTGCCTGTTTTTGTCTCTGTGTTTTTTAAATATTTCAGTGCTTTCTAAACCATGCTTTATTAATTAGTAACTACAAGGAATTCTGTTCTAATTGAACATCACTGCAAAGAGTACATCAATCCGCCTACAGAGTTGGTCAGTGGAATCATGTTTAATCTCGAGCCTACAGCAAAGCCACAACCATTGACTGGAGCTTTATGATAAGGGGTTGATCATAATAGACGGACGTGAATCGCACTTAGGCCTATAGAATGATTCGGATATGGTGAGTGGAGGATAATCCATGCTGTCAATTGCAGGTTTCAGCTCTCCGACTTCATGTATGATGTATTTCCACTACAATCGGAACTTCAAAATTAGCTGGACATAGACGCATAGACGGTGCATACTAAAAGAGATTTGAGAAACTTCAGACGTGCAACTCTGATTTCAAGCAATGTCATTCCCTACGCCTTCTGTTGCCACTGCAAATTAGTGAGTGATACAATTTAAAAACATTTTGGGGGGGATTATTCAAAGTTGTAATAATTCACATTATGGAGATATGAACGTCAGAATTAAGTATCTTTTGCGTGCTATATTCTACTTGTTATCCGATTTCGGTTATATTGAGTGTCAAAAACTTCTCAAACCGTCCCCATTTCCGATCACATATATTGTTCTCGAAAAATTCATGTAACTTTTTTAAGATTATTTCTAATTGGATTGCACCCATTTCTAAACCATTGATTTACAAACATCACAAAACGACCTGTATTATTAATTTTTGTCAGCTACAACAAAACGAGTCTCGTGTAGTACACGTAATTCCTCATGGATGAAAAGCTTTATCCATCGAAATGATGTCTGCACAAAAGCCCGCATTTCGCTCGTAATGAAATTTGTCGCGAGTGCCTTAGCGCCCTCGATTCCACGCGCGCCGGTCGAACGGCTGTGAAGAAGCGGCAGGCGGCGGGCCGATCCGCATTGTGCGCGCGCCGGCGGCAGAGGCTGCCTTCGGCCACTCGGCAAAAGCGGGCAAATGCACTTTTTACGGCGCAAATGAAGACGTGTTAGCATTTCACGGCACGAATGAGTGCGTCATCACACGTTCAGCCAATCGAAACGAGAGCATCGTGAGGATGAAAAGGGACAGCCAACCACCGTTTTCTTACACAGACGTCAAACACTCGAGACGTCATAAGAAAGTTGTTTCGCAAAATTCAAGTTGATCCTTATATACATTAATTATGCTGTTATACAAAATAATAGCGTAAGCATCTCGTTTATTCGTTGAATTCGTACAAGTTTGAAAACTCACTCTTAACGTCGGTCGTTTTCAAAACATGTACTCAAACAAAAAAGCATACTATTATAAACGAATTACATAAACTACTATTCTAAAACTTCGAGCAATCGTTGGAGCAGGTCTCGGGGAAAGAAATATCTGTTTAGAAAGCCTTGGGATTATTATAGACGTGCAGGATTTTGTTGTTGATTTTCTTGTTTACAGAAGTCAGCCTGCTATTACACTGTGGAGTTCTAAATGAACGAATAAAAAACGAAGATGGTTTCACGCGTATATTTTCGAAAATAATAGTCGGATTGAAGTCTGCTTTGTCCCATTGAAATTCTCGTTGAAAGTTGTACATACATACGTGAATTCAGAAAGAAACTACAAAATTATGATTTTTTCAATTGTTTCACCAAATTTCGTGATTTTAGTTTCATTTGATTTAACGCGTTTAATTTGGAAACTAATAGTCGGATATAGTGTGCTTTGCCTCATTAAATTTCTCGTCGAGAGTTGTACTTACATACGTGATTTCAGAAAGAACCTACGAAATTAAGTTTTTTCCAATTTTTTCACCATATTTCGGGATTTGGGCTTCATTTGGTTTCACGCGTTTAATTTCGAAACTAATAGTCGGATTGACTACTGCTTTGCACCATTGAATTTCTCGTCGAAAGTTGTACGTACATACGTGATTTCTGAAAGAACTTACGAAATTACGTTTTTTCCAATTTTTAACCAAATTTCGAGATTTGGGCTTCATTTGGTTTCACGCGTTTAATTTCGAAACTAATAGTCGGATTGACTTCTGCTTTGCACCTTTGTATTTCACGGCAAAAGTTGTACTTACACAAGCGATTTCAGAAAAAACGTACGAAATTAAGTTTTTTCCAATTTTTTAACCTTATTTTGGGATTTGTGCTCCATTTGGTTTCACGCGATTAATTTCGAAATTAATAGTCAGACTGACTTCTGATTTGCACTATTGAATTTCTCGTCAAAATTTGTACTTACATACGTGATTTCAGGAAAGAATTACGAAATTAAGTTTTTTCCAATTTCTTCACCATATTTCGAGATTTGGCCTTCATTTGGTTTCACGCGTTTAATTTCTAAACTAATAGTCGGATTGACTTCTGTTTGCATCATTGAATTTCTCGTCGAAAATTGTACATACATACGTGATTTCAGAAAGAACCTACAAATTCAAGTTTTTTCCATCCTTTCTTAGATATACTGATTCTGGTACTTGCCTAGGACACTTATTTATGTCACATTTCCTGCTCTCCACATATAATTAATAACCAATCATACTATACATTCTAAAATGATATAGGTTGTCGGTGGTCTTGGATGTCTTCATTTGCTCATATTTTCCCACTCGAAAAGGTGAAAGAAAGGTTATTGAGGGACGCTGATTTAATTTGAGTATCAAGTGTAAACAAATGTTGCACTCAACGTTAAGGGGGTGATTGCATAACTAGGTCGTTTTGTACTTTGCCCAATTGAGGTTCTTTTTGTTTTCGTCTATCTCGGAAATTATTCGTCTGATTGGAGTTTACTTTGCACCAATCAATTTCTTTTAATGTGTTTTTCCTTTGTTACA